GAGACGAATGCACGGCCGCAATTTTCGACGGATTTGCACCAAAATTTACATGCACATACTCCAAGTTATCGGGAAGGCCAAGGCCGACTTTGCATTTCCCAACTCTCATCGATAGTGGAAATAATCGATTTTTTCATGCTTCTACGGCAGTTTTCATGTAGTTTGCGGCCGTTATCTACTGGCCAAAGTGAGAGCCTATAGATGGCTGCCACGAATAGGGAAGAAGATTCTATTGGCCAGCGTGAGAGCCAACAGCTGACTGAGATGAATTTTAATTAGCATGCTAGCATGCAAAAAAAATCGATAGCTGCATTCGTCACAAGTGGGAAAAATTTAAATCTGCATGCCACTTTACTCCAATTGGCTGATTCACTTGCTTAAACTCAACGTTGATTCAGATTCCACAGAACTGGGTTGGGTGTGAAAAAGTATTTGTTGTTAACATTCTTTTTTCATTCGGTTTTTCGAGTTATGAGTCCTTTTTTAAAGCTGATCGTTTTGTGTTCATTTTGCTTAGTTCTTTTTTCGTAACAGATTTAATGTTTAGTATAGAGCTTAGAAAAAATTCGCAGTGTGAGATAGGCAAGAAGTAAGGCATGTAGCAACATAAACACGGCAAAGGGCACTCCTTTAAAGGCAAAAGAAGGGCAAAAATATTTTAAGTCAAGTGATAGCGATTGCTGTACGAATCGTACGATTTTTAATCAAGCACGGGCAACGAGGGACCATGCTGCTATATATATATATATATATATATATATATATATATATATATATATATATATATATATATGATAGTAGCTGCTAGTGGTCATCATCGCTTTCCTCCACGTCACTAGCATGGTTATCATCTTCGACCACTTCACCATCAATATCCACTCGAGTAAAGCCTTCAAAATCATCATCGAAGTCCTAATCAAAGAAAAACTCCTGAATAAAGCCTTTGTTGGATATGGACGCAGCCATTTTTTTATTTCCAGCTTAAAATACCAGAAATTACAATTGACAGGCGTTTATTTATAACAACCATCTCAAGGTGACAGAATGTGCCTAGATCAGCAAAGGGAGAGAATACTAACAGCGACAATTTTCACCTGCAGTGTGGTAAAGGTTAATAAGCTTTGAAATATATAAATAGTAAATATTGTTTTACTTACTCTTTCCTAAGCATTATATATATATATATATATATATATATATATATATATATATATATATATATATACGGAAAGAATATATATTTATATTATTATTTATATTATATTATATTATGTCTATTACGTTTTATCATGGGCCTTTCCAAACTTAGTATTAGCTTAGATCGACGACCAATATAAATTAATATTGAAATGTTGGACAGTTTTTGTTTCTATTTTCACTTGAAACTAAAGCCATTATACGACGCTTGGAAAAACACATGATAAAACATAATAGACATTCGTTATCTATTATATTTACCAATATTATATATATATATATATATATATATATATATATATATATATATATATATATATATATAATGTAGTATTCTAAGGGGACAAATGTGTCGAAAGCGCCTTAGTACAGACGCAAAAGAATCCTCAGATCATGTTTGTCAACACCAGTTACATCCGGTTTTTTCTCGTTGACAGCGGGACAGTTTCGCTAGCTAGATACGTGCCTCTCAGCAACTGGTCAACATCCGGTTGTTTGTAAGCTGCCTCATGCCAATAAAACCAGGCAAAAAACCACCAGTCGGCAGTTGGCAAGACATGGTGTCTTGTGAAGTTCATCCTGTGCGCATTTTTCCCTGAAGTATTTTTTGTTACCTTCTGTCTTTTCCCCCTCTCTCCTGTTATACCAGTAGTTGTTGGGAGAGCAATCGGTTAGGTGTTCACGCCCCCGCTAATCTCAATAAACACTTTGCTTATATTACAACAACAATCTATTTAATTTTTAAATTTGATCATCTTGCAGTCGACGAAGCCACATGGACAAAACTAGGGATAACCAAAAGAAATATAGACAAAAGTTACATTAATATTTGCGCAGAGAACACTTGAGAAAGTGTTATAGTGGAACACACCTATTCTATTGTTAATAGACCCTCCCACCTATAATAAGTAGGAGTAGTAGGAGTTGTTCAGTGGTTCGGTCAGTCAGTCGATGCCGGACGACTGTTAGTTGAATACTAAAGTATCAGCGACCACCACTAGATTTCTCTGCGTCATTACCACCAACGTTCCTAACGTTTTGTACGTCGAACCTATTTTAGGACCGACTTAGTACAAATACGAGCCTCCACTGTGAAACCACTCCATAACAGAAAGGTAATAGCATTACCATTAAATTAAATTACCATTAATTAAATTTGGAAATTAGGGATAGCCAAAAAGAAACACAGACAAAAGTTACATTAATATTTGCGCAGAGGACACTTGAGAAAGGTTATAGCATAACCATTCATAGAATTTGAGAATATATTGTTTGGCCGATAAAAAAATCGCACTGTTATGTTTTGTGCAATGTTAGGGAAATCGTCGAAGTGCCCTCGAACTTTGATCAGCTTTTTATTGTCTGTACTTGCGTATTTTTAAGAACTCAGTTTCGACTCATGACTGACGAGGCAGAAGATTTTCTCGCAATTCGTTGCCATTTTTCTGCGATAGACTGGTTACCAACCAAGGCTGTAGAATCCAGTCTATCCTGCTATTTGGAAACCTAATAATTGTTAAGAGTCCGGGTCAGGGTGAACCTAGAAACAATAGAAGTTAAGAAGTTGTTCCACGCACCTCACAACCTCCAATTTCCCGTTCGTCTTGCAGCCGGATGTCGTTCATCGTCTAACCCAGGCCTGTAAGAGCTATTTGCTTAAAAATGATTATTTTATTTTGTAATAAATACCAAGGCTAAATATAAAATCACAATTCGGCACTGTTTACTCGCCATGATTAAACTAGGAAGTATAGTGCCTTTTATTCATGGCCTTGTGCCAAACAAATTCTTAATACTTACAGATGGACCCGCTGGCGCTCCAGTCGTAGGTTGTAAAACAAATCAAATAGATCTTTATTACTGTAATGAATGTAATCCTCACCTGGTGCCAACTACTTGTTGCTTTGTGCTGGACTGGGCTCAAATTTAAGAAATATCTATAATGCGAGATTTTATTTGAAAGAACCTTAATATAAGTGAGATTTTTTTACTTTAATGATTCATTCGAATCGTTTTGATTAAAAACTGACTAAACCACTCAGCTCTACATGGTTGCCGAGTGTTTGTCAGCTGTGTGAGGCCCATTAATAAATGAAGTGACTTGTTTTAAAATAGTTTCAAACAAGTTTTAGTTTGTTGCTATATTTCCGTATTTTTCTGATAATAATATTCTGAGCTTGTCTTCTCACCTGTTTATCGAAAAGTCGGATGTTTTCGGTAAACAAACAAAAAAAACACTTATTCTCGCTCAGTGCACACATTTCAAAGCAATATAGCACAGAGCTCTGGGAGACACCTGTGTGTATGCTTGATTTATAGATTAAATTAATTTGTTGATATAGTAGAGATCAAAAGAAATGAGCCGCCTCAGAAAAAAAAGTCAATTTGCTTAATTTTTACTTAAAAAATGTAAGTATTCAACAATGTACTTTCAGGAATTGAATTTCTTGTCATTCAGGACTGTAATGGTGGATGTCGCATTCGAGTGAACACGCTACGTGATGAGATACAGAACTTAACTCATTACAATAATGAAAATAGAGTAATCAAAAGTGATGAGCCACTGGAGGCAATATAGAATTACTTCCATCGGGTCGAAACGAAAGTTCTGTTCGGTTTTATCGTGTCTATTACAAATGAAGATACTAATGCCAACAAAAATATTTAATCATATATATAACCACCATTGCTTCCAAGAACTTCATTCCATAGTTTATAGATGCCAAGTTTGTAAAATTATTGAGGTTGTTGGGTTATCGACTTCTGACGATAATCACAGTCGGTGAGATATTGAATTACCGCCCCCTGACGATAATCATAGTCGGCGAGATATTGAATTACTGCCTCCTGACGATAGTCAAAGTCGGCGAGATATTGAATTACCGCCTCCTGACGATAATTATAGTCGGCGAGATATTGAATTACCGCCTCCTGACGATAATCATAGTCGGCGAGATATTAAATTACCGCCTCCTGACGATAATCATAGTCGGCGAGATATTGAATTACCGCCTCATGACGATAATCAAAATCGGCGAGATATTGAATTACCGCCTCCTGACGATAATCATAGTCGGCGAGATATTAAATTACCGCCTCATGACGATAATCCAAATCGGCGAGATATTGAATTACCGCCTCCTGACGATAATCATAGTCGGCGAGATATTAAATTACCGCCTCCTACGATAATCATAGTCGGCGAGATAATGAATTACCGCCTCCTGACGATAATCATAGTCGGCGAGATATTGAATTACCGCCTCCTAACGATAATCATAGTCGGCGAGATATTGAATTACCGCCTTCTGACGATAATTAAAAGAGATGCGAGATTTGGAAGAATCATTCTCTTTCCTTGGTGATCTCGGTAACATAAAGACGCCCTGTTCTCACTCCTGATGGCATAAAAGTACCTGAGAGACAGATACTGAAGGTTTCTTTGAACTCTTTACATTTAATTTGATTTTCATGTTTCCTTTTTGTTATATCCTATTAATATATTTATTACTATTTGTTTGTTTAAATTTCATGTCTTGTGACTTATTTTTTACCAGGGCTTACATCAGTCCGCCAATATTGTTTGCGGAAGAAATGTACCAGGAACATTAAATATTTAGTAAAAAAAATTCCACACCTCATATCAAAAGGGTTGAACCCCGCAACAATGTTTTGATGTAAAATAGGAGACCAACTGATGTTCAATCACTTCTTTTGGTGCCAACATTAAGCCCTCTAAATGGTTTTAAAAAAAAACCCTAAACAAGTAATAATCAGAAAAAAAGGTCGGGAGAATATGGAGGATGAAGCAATCATTCCCAACTGAGAATCTCAAGGGATTGTTACTCAACCATGCAGCGTGTGGGCCGTATTATAGTGTTGGAAGTTTCCTCCCCTTGTCTCAGGATGGAGGATCCCCCCCCCCTTGTCTCAGGATGGAGGATTCATTCACTTGTCTCAGGATGGGAGATTCCTCCCCTTGTCTAAGGATAGAGGATTCCGCTATTTGTCTAATGATGGCGGAATCTACCATTTGTCTCAGGGTAGAGGATTCCTCCACTTGTCTCAGGTTGGAGGATTCCTTCACTTGTCTCAATGTGGAAGATTCCTCCCTTGTCTAAGGATAGAGGATTCCGTTACTTGTCTAATGCTGGAGGATTCCGCCACTTGTCTCAGGGTGGAGGGTTTCGCTACTTGTCTCAGGGTAGAGGATTCCTCCACTTGTCTCAGTATGGAGGATTCCTCACCTTGTCTAAGGTTGAAGGATTCCTTCATTTGTCTCGGGGTGAAGGATTCCAACGCTTGTCTCAGGATGTAGGATTCCTCTACTTGTCTTCAGGATAGAGGATTCCTCCACTTGTCTCAAGATGGAGGATTCCTCCACTTGTCTGAGGGTGGACGTCTTCTATCCAAAGATGTTTTCCTTTATTTTTATATTTCCCTTTTTTTTCTTTCTTTTTGTTTCCTTTCTTTCATATCTATTTCTTTCTACGTTTCTTACTTTTTCTTTCACTTTGTTTTTTTTTCCTTTCACTTTTATTCTTTCTTTCTCCTCTTTTTCTTCTCTCCTCTCCTATCCTTCTCTCTCTCTTTCTCTCTCTCTCTTTTTCTCTCTCTCTCTCTCTCTTTCTCCCCTTTCTTGCTCATTTCCTTTCTTTCACTTTCCCTTTTTTACTCTTTTTTTTTACCAGCATCTTTTTTAAAACCTTTGTTACGTTTTTATAATTCTTCATGTATAAAAGCAAGAACTTTTTAGTTTCTTACCTTGATAAGAACTTTTCAAATATGTACGTCGAGGAATTCATTTGCACTGTCTATTTAATATTTTAGAGTAAACAAATTTGTATCACTTTTCTTAAAAACGTCGCGCCAGATAATGAGTTTAATATCAGGTCGACGTGATGGATATAAAAACAATCAGCGATTAATCACTCCACTTACCTAATTGAATTTATCAACGAGAGAAGTCAACTTTTTCGAGCCGCTCTTCCAAGAAGCCACTTTCGTTATATAAAACTTTATTTAAGGATTTAATTTTTTTTTTAATTCATTGCATACACATTTAGCTACATGTTTCGTTAACAATTTTAATGTAATAAAGAACCCTGAGTTTATAATGAAATTAGGTCTACGTATATTGTTTATAATAATTTCTAATATTGACATAATTTTATTATACCACAAGCAACACGTGTATTTTCTTCCTAAAGTTCGTCCACCGTGTCGTGCTAGACAATGCACATTTAGAAATCTACCATTCGTCTGTGCATTGAATACTATATCTGGTTTGGTGCTCTGGTTATATATATATATATATATGTCTATATACTTGACAAAATCTAAAGAAGGGTGTTTAATGTTATTGGTCTTAACCTGGCATCTCGTCTTCAGTCACCATCTCACTTCCGTGACATGGCTTCACTTTGCCTTTCGAAGATATTTTCATGGCAATTTTACCAATGAGCTGCTTACGTTGTACGAAGATCGCGTGAATTTAAACGCAGTACTAGACTGGCAACTAGGTCTCATCGTTTGACTGTTGCAATAGCTAGCTGAAACCGTAAGTTCTATTCTAATAGTTTCTTTTCTCGCATTTTTCGCCTGTGGAACTCTCTTCTAGTTTCTTGCTTCGCTACTATCTACGTTCTCCAAAAATTTAAATGTAATGACAATCGCCTTCTTCTATTTTCTTGAATCCTATTTTTTTATTATCCTTTCTCCTCACTAATGTCTTCTCATTCTTTTACACTACCAGTAACCCCTTACGTCTTAGTGGCATTGTTGCCTTGCTCGGATTGAAATGATTAAAAAAACAGCTTTACTGGAATGTTTTTAAATATCTGTAATGTAAAAGTTCCAGTAGCACCTTATGCCTTAGTAGCTTTGTCGCCTTGCTTGTATTGAAATTATTTAAAAAAAAAAAAAAGCTTTACTGGAATGTTTTTAAATATCTGTATTGTAAAAATGCCAGTAATCTCTTACGTCTTAGTGGCATTGTCACCTTGCTTGGATTGAAATGATTAAAAAAACATCTTTATTGGAATGTATTTAAATATCTGTATTGGAAAAATGCCAGTAACCCCCTTACGTCTTAGTGGCATTGTCACCTTGCTTGGATTGAAATGATTAAAAAAAACATCTTTATTGGAATGTATTTAAATATCTGTATTGGAAAAATGCCAGTAACCCCCTTACGTCTTAGTGGCATTGTCGCCTTGCTTGGAGTGAAATGATAAAAAAAACAGCTTTATTGGAATGTGTTTAAATATCTGTATTGTAAAAATGCCAGTAACTCCTTACGTCTTATTTAGTCACTATCGTTTCTAACTTAACAAGCAGTATACTTTCAAGATGACCAATTAAACAAAATTTAATTTTACAGAACCATTTTAAGAAATAAAATGTCATGATCTCTGGTGAATTTTTTCCTCATTCCAAAATTCTCTATTAGGACCTGCCGTGTTGTTTTCCTATTCTTTAGGAGTAGATAGGTTCGCCTATTGTCCCGTTCACACGTCTCACTGGGTTTTTTTTTTTTTAACAGGAGTAGAGCTTTGTCCCTTGTTCCTTGTTTAGGATTGGGTTTCCGGCTGCTTCTAAAGTCTTCTCATTCTCTATCACTCCCTCTTGCGTCTTAAGGGCATTATCACCTTAGCTTGTGGTGAATTGATAAAAAAAATTCAATTTTTATGCTATCAGTCGCAAATCAAACCTTCCATCTGATCGCACCAAAGTTCGCACTCTGCCCACATTTGCATCTATTCTTTATGATTCTGTCTGCCTCCACTACGTCCTCTCGCCTTTCTTTAAACTTCTTGTGGCATTCAACAAAAAAAATCTCTTATATTTCGATATGTTTACGATAAGTTATTTTAATAGGGTTAATATTTTATTAATGGTTCTTAGCAAAATTTGATGTTAACTCACTGCTCCAAATAACTTTCACTCATTTTCCACCTGCAATATGACATGAACACATAAACCTTCCTCTACTGCTCGGCAACGAATGAATTGTTTGTACTGCTTTTTGGAACATATACGGATATGGTCTGGAACAAGTGTTTGCTTAACGCATTACTCATGCGACACTTGCGATCATTGCGAGAATTAAATTATCATACTTTGAATATTTAACCAAAGTACTTAATCTCTTTAAGCTGTAGTGTTTTGGAGTTCGATCAGAAATCATCTTTATTCATGAATACCCGATGCATAATGATTTTTCATTGTATCGGTTCTTTTAAATAAACAAGGGGTTAAACTTGGGTATTATCCTTATTGTAACCTTTAACCCTCTTGAACTTTTAACAACTGGCATTATAGCATTGCCTGGGGTGAAGTTATTTTTTTCAAAAATTCGTCGTGACTTAAGAAAATATTTCCAGAGCAACTTCAGAAAATAAATCGGCCATTCGAAGTATCCTCACTGTCACGAGCAAGCAAACTTTTTGCTAGGGATCTATTTTCCCTATCATAATCCAATATTTGCGTGTTTCTTTTCTAGACAACTGGTACTACTTTACTTTTGATTTGTCCTTTCTAAATTTTCACAATTTCTTACTTTAAAACTTTGTAACTGTCCTCAAAGACACATGTCACAGTGGATAAAGGCGTTAGTTAGATCCAGTGATAGGACACAAAGAGCGTGAGTTCAATACCCAGTTAGGGCAGTGGAGAACTTTCAGAGGGAAATTAACAGATAACTGATAACTGACATCCATTAAACATGACACGTGGAACTAGAACAGACTACCCCAGTGAGCGAAATAAAGGGCTAAGTTCGACATTCCAAATACCTTATGAAGGCCGGAGCGTACAACGGCCGAAAGGTTGTAATAAATATGGCGACAAAGATGAGAACAATAGTCCAAATAAAGTAAATAATGAACAAAAAACTTATTTTTGATATGTTTATGATAAGTCATTTTAATAGGCTTTATATTTTATTAACAATTTACAACAAAATTTGATGTTAATCCACTGCTCCAGGTAACTTTGGCTCATTTTCCACCAGCAATATTACATGAACATGTAAAAATTTCTCTACTACTCGGCAACGAATGAATTATTTGTACTGCTTCTAGGAATATATACGGACAATTGTTTGCCTAACTCATTGCCTGGGGTGTAGTTATTTTGAAAAAATTCCCCTTGACGTAAGAAAATATTTTCAGAGCAACTTAAGTAAATAAATCGTCCATTCCTTCTTTGCAGCCAATAGTTTTCGAAGTATCCTCACTGTCTCGAGCAAGCAAGCTTTTTGTTAGGGCTCCATTTCAACGTCATATTTGGTCTAACATTTTTGTTAGTCGAAAGAGTTAAAAAAAATTGGCGTGATTGTTAATTACGTCAAATTTTTATGTAAATGCTCAACAATTGACAGTAAAAAAAAATTATCAATTAAAAAATTAATTTATAAAACCATGATATTTTTTGGAATAGCAAATTTTTAATACTGCTAAGAATTACGAAATCCAAGTCCCTGTCTCGATCCTTTTAAACCTGAAAGCGTAATCTAATTTATTTTCAACGTTCACCTTTCGCCTTCACTTGGCAAGGAATCTGATCCGACGTCATGTTTTTCCGGCTTTTGGCAATCCTAGCATCAGACAACCGGAAGTGTGTTCATTAGCAATTCATCAAGCGGAAGTGACTGAAGATTGTCAGTGCTAACAAATGGTAGCCATCGAAGTCATGTGATCAAATTCGCTGAAGCCGTTAACTATTTAGAACAGTTCTTTGCAGCTGCGTTTTTCGTTACCACTAGAATAACATATAAAGAACTTTACTTTTCATTCTTTCTCTCTCTCTCTCTCTTTCTCTGCCCACACGCGTATATGTTATGACTCATGACGATGATGATAACACTTCATCATTCTAGAAATAAAGATCTGAAATTTCATCATTCTAAAAACAAACTTTCCACCAATGATGATTAATGATGATGATATTTCAGCATTCTAGAAATAAAGATCTGAAACTTTATCATTATAAAAACGTCCCTTCCAACATAAGCAAAAGTAGAAGTAGTAAAAAGAACAACACAGGCGTATCTTCTTCACTTCGGGAAAATCCATAGTTGATGGTTTCAAATACTTCCTTTAACCACGAAAATTTCGAAGCAATTATAAACAAGTAAGCCCAAATTATAATGAGACAAAGAGACTGCAAACATTTAACACACACAAAATCAATATTGTAAATAACATTCACGAAAAGAAAAATACACATTCTTCATTAATTTCAACACGTGTTTTAAAGATTTATTATTGCATGTTATTGTTGTACGTTTTATTAATTTCATTTTCAGTATAAAAAGCGAGAAAAAGAATCTTTTATCAACTACTAATTCATTTAACACGCGGTAAATTAAATTAATAACTCAAACCACCCCGTTATAAATATGCACACCATCGTGCAAATTAATTGAAACAACCGCTTTAGTTTTCCTTTCTTTCAACATACGGTCAGTTTTAGACCCACTGGAGTGATAGGGTGTAATCATTTTCTATTTTTTTCTTCAGATTAGGTCATTTGCAGTAATATGAATCTATTTTTAGGTGTATGATGAAATTTGTTTGGCCTTGAAAATATTCCGTCATCCGTAATAACATCAGATTTTATCACGAACACTATTGTCTCGACTGTCGTTTAGTTGTCCTACGGCCATTGTCTGCGATGGACGTTACTCCAAGGAAGCGTA